CTGGATACCTTCCTCCAAGAGATCAAGCGTGGCACCATCGTGTTGACAGCCAGTTATGACGACGCTGCCACAAAGTGAGTTTGGCCCTGGGAGCAACACCCGGCTCCCCAAAAACCCGCAGCTGGGGGAGCTAGAGGTGCTGCTGCCAGCAGCAGAGAGGGGCAGGAGGGGACACACACCTGGCACCACACTAACAGCTTCTTACCGTCTTTCAGGATGAATGACAAAGTGCGGGCACATTTCGAAGAGCTGGGCAGCAGCCATGTGAGCAAGCTGGGCTTTCGGGACAACTGGGTCTTCTTGGGAGCAAAAGGGCTGAGGAACAAGACCCCCTTTGAAGAGGTACATGGCCCTCCCCTGGCACCAGCTCTGGAGGTTCCCATCTTCTTTGTAGCACCTCCCGAACAGCATCTTATGTACCTGTCTGCAGAAGATGCCATCCAGTGGTGCTATCCCCCACGTCGAGCCAAGCTGCAAGTTTTGCCACATTGCAAACTTGCACTGTGCCACCAACATCCTCATTCATTTTCTTTCTCTCTCTCTCTCTCTTTCTTTTCCTGCAGCACATCAAAAATGATAAGGAGACAAATAAATATGACGGCTGGCCTGAGCTGCTGGAGATGGAGGGCTGTGCCCCCAGGAAGGAAAACTAGCATCAAGCCCCAGCCTGCCACAGAGGCAAGACCAGTCTTGCAGGGACCCCAGCCCCATTACACCGACCCCAGCCGCCCACCCAACGCCTGGTCACACAGCCCAGCAGCAGCTGCCCCCTCCCAGGGACCAGCCGTTTCACAGCAGGGGCTGTGCAGGGCTTGGAGAAGAGCTGTACAAATGCCCACAGAGCCTGAGCAAACACCCAGACGGGTTTCAGCCCAGCTGTCCTCACCTATGGGTCAATCTGGGGTATTTTATTTTTCTGTCTTTAAACCAAAAACTTTGTAGAACATTTTTCAGATTTCTTAAATAAGATATCTAGTTATAAAACATTACCTTCTCACTTCCATTCTCACTTCCATGGCACAGCATGCCATGTCCTCTGCCACCAGCCAGGCATCAGCGTCCCCACGGCACTGCACATTGGCATTCCTCCTCCTCGCATGGCACAGGGCAAAGTCATCTCTGGGGATGCTCAGGCCTTGGTGGTTCCCCCTGGAGCTCCTGCCAACCCCACTGCTGTCTCCTACAGCCACAATAAGGCCAGACGGCCACAGGGACGTCTTGCAGCAATGCAGGCAATTTGCAGACCAAAACGTTTCCCCCACCTGATTGCATCTTTCCTGGGTTATGTCAGAGTTAAATCCCTCCATGACAAGTCCCCCAAGGTAACACCAGGGATGCGCCAACCCAACTTTACCCAGCAAAGAGAGAGGGATGGACGCGCATGTTCCTCAGGCAGCTGAAGTTGTGCAGCATAACCAATAGGTGGGAGCCTTTTACCGGGAGAGCCGGGGCCAGCATCAGTCTGGAGCGACACCACGCACCCGCACTGGCACCCTACTGCAGGCACCCCCACACCCGCTTTGCTCCGGGAGCTGCACCCTGACCTGGGGCAGACAGACCCTGCTGGGAGAGGAGAGACCCCTGCCCAAACGCAGGCCAGCAAAGCCCCGCAGACCTCCTTGTAGGGTGGATCCCATGCTGCTGCCCAGCGCCAAGGAGGTCCTGGGGGACCATCTGCCCCCTGCTCATGCCTGCTTGCGTTCACCCGAGCACCATCTGTACCCAAAACCTCCCTGAGCTCGACCACTGCTGATATCAGATCAGCAGCGTGGGTGACAGCCTGCGCTTATCTGTCGTCATGGACAGGAACGAATTTGCATCATATACAGACTTTAATTTCCTATGATTGTATCTGGGTTTTTCCCCATTCTTTAAAGCAGACCAGCAGTTTGGCAGAACATGAGGGTGGAGCATTTCTGCTGGAGCACTTGGAGCTGGGCAAGACAACAGGCTATCCTGCACAGCCTTTTCTGCCTCTGCCAGCGGGGTTTGGCCCAGCACAGCTTCTAACAGGCAGTCCACATCAGTCATCTGAGCCCTCAGATCACTCCAGGGGAGCATAAGTGAGGAGCATTGGCAGGATAAAGCCAGAAGGAGACACAGTCTGTCCTGCACCAGCCACCTTAGGGATGAAACACTGCACGCAAAACCCAGCGAGGTACTCAGTTTTCCCTAAACAAGGAAAAACCCCAAAATAAATTGTGTAACACCTTTAAGAACTTCCAAAGGCACAACTGAAACAAAACCCCAAAACAACCATCACAGAGAAATCCCCCAACGGCTGTAGTATTTTATCCCAGCTTATCCTCATGCGCTCTTAACGTGCACCTGATCACACTGAGGGAAGCCTCCACCATAAACTGATCCCTAAATCTGCTGCAACAACAGCAGTTAATCCCAAGCGCTGAATCATCCCTACCAGTGGCAGCAGCAAGAAATAACACAACAGACACAACAGCCCTCACATCACACAGCCCTGCCGCACTGCTAGCATAAATATGCCAACTATTTTAAGCCCCCTCAAAGGATCTAGATTCGCTTGTAAGCCAAACTGAAAACAGCCTAAGAACTGTAAAGGCGGCTGCATGGGATAAACCAGTGCACACCATCAGCTACAGCCCAGAACACAACCAGCCCCTTTCAGCCCCAGAAACTGTTCCTAGCCCTTTGCAATGCATGTTAGAAATCTGGTTTAAAGCCAAAATAAAGGAAATTTATGTTTCAGCATGCTACAGAGTTAAAACTAGTTCTGAATCCTTTACGGAGCAGTTAGCAAGGTCCATCACTATTTTCAACAAATAGGGAGAGCTAAAAGTGCAACTCCTGTGCAGACAGCTTAATCAGCAGTCAGCGTTTTGAAGAGCCATTCCTGCCAAAGTCTCCAGTCCTCATACATAAATTGGAGCTTTTCAAAAGACCAGAATCTGGGAGGCAGGGGTATAAATATGACTTCAGGAGTCAAATTTAACTTGCTTATTTTTTAAAAAGATCTAAAAAGCATGGTGGGCACAGGGACAGCAATCCCCAAATGAGCTTTTTAGTGCCTTGGCATTTTGAAAGCTGTATTACTGCAGAGACAGGCACCTACCTGGCTGGTTTTCACCGTGCTGCATCCCCAGAGACTTCAGCAAACACAAGCCCTGACCTTCCCAGCCTCCCAGGACGCAGGTCCAGGTAACCTGGGCTTGCCTGGGGGGTCTCAGTGGGCTCCAGCAGCCAACAGGCAACCTAGGGCGTTTGCAGGAGCTAAGTTTGCAAAATCCAGTACCACAACAGGAGCCAAGAGCCAGAGTGCAGACGGGCAGCAGAGGGATAATCCTCTAGTTTTGGGGGTACAGGTTTATTTCAGCAAAGCACCAAAGGAGCAGCTAGGAAGGATGCCACGGGCAAGGACCAACGGGTGCCGGGGCCCCACAGCTGGGCGAATCCGCGTCCTGTGACATCTTGCCCTGTCAAGTGCAATTACTGTAATCTTCCACAGCCTCTCAAAATACGGATCCCGGCTTAGAAACCGGGCATCCGCAGCATGAAAGCTGCCTTTGTGCCCGGGCAGAGCCTGGGCGCAAGCCAGCCGTTAGGTGCATGAAGAAAATGAGTTCTCCACGTGCTGGGAGAAGGGAGGAAAAGCAAGCTTTCCCGCCCGACCCCGCTGCAGACGGGCTGGATTTCACCCACACCTCCCCGCAGCAGCTGCCGAGGGGCCAGGAGCTGCACGGCTGTGCATCCCCCTGGGAATAACAGGGCCAGTGACCACGGAGAGCCAGCTGGTCCCACACCCCGGGTGAGCAGAGCACAGCCGACACGTCGGACCATGGGGGCGGCACACGGGAAAAAGGTAACGGGGCTGTTTTGTTCAGGGCTGCTGAAGCAGCGGCGGGATGACGGAGAAGGCACCATCTGCTCACGTGGTGTTTGTTGTGCCCTGCGTGTGCTAGGGCGTCTGATGGCAGCGAGGGATTAGCGGGAAGAGACCCACTCCTGGGTGTAGGTGTCACTCGTCAGGTCCAGATTAAGTAATTCCACCTGATGGGCTCAGCATCAGCGCCTGCCAGGGCGTTCAGGACAGCAAGGAATGGATCAGAGCATTGCTAAAGGACAGGCAAAGTTTGCCTTTCTGGGGAGAAACAGCAGGCTTGCTGGGAGCACAGCTGGCAGCCTGCAGGCTGTCTCCCACAGATGTGGTGCAGAGCAAGCCCCAAGTATTTCTTGGCCTGTGAATTGCTGCCAGCTCCCTCCCAGGATGGGGAGGAGCCGGACCACATCCCACAGCACCCATGCACATATTCCTCTCCTCCAAATCCCAAGGGGAGAGGAGTCAAACAGCTCCAAAAGGAAACAGGGCTTTACAGGGTCAGAGCCATGCAGAAGTGGCTAGAGGTAGTTGGGCTGAGGGTGCTGTTAGATGTCATTTTGCTCTCATGTCTGATGACATCAGTGCTTAGAGATATATCATCGCTATTCAGTTGTGATGCCCTGATCTGGTTTTAGACTTCTGTAGCTTGGCTCCCAGCTCTAAGACAAATGCACTCGTGCACACACTAGTCAGTAACTTCTATTGCAATGGGGACAGCAGTGACCCTCTGCCGCAGGAGGGACCCTGCATGGTCAGCTGAGCATGGTCTGTGGCCTTCAGAGGTGGGGGCACATCCAAACCTGGTGCCTTTCAGAAGTTCGCAAACCTCTGGGCTTTCTTCCAAACCCAAAGCTAGACACTGTTGTGGGGGAAATGTGCATAAAAGCAATCCACTGGCCTGTGTTACTAATATCCAGAAGGAAAATTGGAGCTGATGGGGGGACTAGTAAATATTTATCTATTTTCCTGGACCTCAGAGACGTGCCAGGCACAGGAGGTGCTGCTCCCAGCCAGCCCCCTGCTTCTCCAACATCCAACCAAGGTGCTGATGCCGCACTGGCTCCAGCTCACAGGGGAGCCATGGTCGTTCCCGGCTCAGGGCTATGACGGCACACTCGGGAGGAGCCATACTCTGCCCATAGCAAATCCCCAGACCTTTGCTCACATGGCCGAGACCTTCAGGGCTCGGCACATTTGTACAGGCATTACTGAAAGCAGGGAAATAAGCTGGTTAGGTCAGGTTTGGCTCAGCGCCACCCAGTTCAGCCCTGCTGCATACAAAGCAATCTATGCCGGCCTCCCGACCACCAGACCAGATGGCTTTTGGACAGCTTTCCCCATTGCTCTCTCCTTCCGAAACACCATGATCCCACCACAGCCCAGTACTGAATGGTCTGGCTTTGGAATGCTCCCAGGAGCTTGGGCTCTCCCATCACACCAGCTTGCTGGCAGCCCCGAAAAGCTCTGAGACAGTTTTACTTTCATGGGCACCAAAAGGTCAGAGATTTCACTCCCATTTCAGCCTCTCTAATGTTGCCTGGGTTGACAAAAGCCTGTGCCACTACCCAGCTGGCACTGAGCAGGGATGTCTGACTGGCAGCTCCCAGGTCGGTGCTTTACCCTTAGGCTGAGGCTGAGGGGGGATGGAAACAAGAAAGCTCCTTCTGTGGCATTTCCAGGGTGGGCATGAACAGCAGGCTCCAGCCCTCCCCAAGGACCAGGCTGGGTCGAGGTGACAGGCAGGCAAGCTCTCCTTCCCCCAGCCCTTGCAGAACCAGCACGGCTCAGGGCATGGGGATC